TAGTTATTTATAAATTAAACTTGAATAATTTTAAAATATATTATCAATAATTAAAATAATATATATCATAATATAAATTATTAATATAAATTTATATATTTAAAAATATTTATTTATACAAATTTTAAATATAATTATATATTTAAATATAATATTTATTTATTTATATATATAATATATATTAAAATAAACATTTAGCATATACAATACACATGTCAAAATACTAATTTATTATAAGTTATCAGTTTTTTAATGAGTTTGATAAGTATATATTGTGTATACATGTTCTTTTACAATATTAACCAATCATAATTTATCTGTAGTATAATTTTTAAAATAATTATAATAAAAATTTTAAATTTATCATACATGACTATTTATAATCAAATGATAATATAAAAAAATTATTCACACTATTTGTACATATATTATTTATTTTATTTTAATAATTTGTCCTAAAAAGTTTATTTAACATAATATCTTTAAAAAAAATATAGGCTTAAATATGTTTTTGATCTCTGAAGTATAATAATTGGACAATTTTAATCTTTCAAATTTGATTTGAATAATTTTAATCTCTCCAGTATTATAATTGAATAATTTTAGTTTCTCAAATTTTAATTGAGTAATTTTATTCTCTCAAATACAATAATTATTTAATTTTAGTCTCTCTAATATCGTAAAAATACAAATTTTTACATATTCAAGTTACATATATTATTATTTTTTAGAAATAATAAATATATCATTTAATATATGAATAAAAATTATAATATATATATAACTTAAATAGGTAAAAGAATTGTATAATTATAATATTTGAGAGACTAAAATTATACCATTGTAATACTTGAAAAACTAAAATTACTTAATTAAAATTTAAGAAACCAAAATCATATAATTACAATACTTAAAAAAAATAAAATTAATCAGAACTTTAAAAATTAAAATCATACAATTATAATATATGAAAGGATTAAGATTATGATTAAGCCAAAAATATAACAAAAATATCAATTGCACAAGTGTTTTGTAAGTTCTTCCAAATTCTGATATATTTTTTCTTGTCTCCTCTCAAAGCCTCTGTCATCCCCTTCTTCTCATAACACTTCCCTCACTCATCTTTTTCTCGCAGCTTTTTCACTCTTATCGTTTCCTCCTTGTTTCATTGCCATTATCTACTTCTCAACCTCAAGTCTCTTTTGTTTTTCCCTCAACTTTATCTTCTACCAATAGCCATTGCCAACATGCAAACCTCAATGTCGTAATCATTGTCAATTGTGTTGTCTACCGTTTTGTTTCATTTTCTGAGAATGAATTTTTGCCACTCATGCTTCAATTTTTTTTTTTTATTCCAATGCTCACGGAATGGAGATTGATAAGATATTGAAAGATATAAATTCTTTTTAAGGATATTATTTAAAGTTGAAATATATTATATTTATTTTAGATTTATTTTCTCTTAAATGTTAGGTAAATAAATAGAGGTTTTTTGGGATGAGAAAAGTTATTTGATCTAGAAAAGGTCACCATCTTAAATGAGAAAAGGGGTCATATGTAGAAGAATTTATAAGTTTCATCAGAAAATTTGTAAGGAAGAGGTTTCCAAGTTTTACCTATAAAATTTGTAAGGAAAAGGTTTCTAGTTTCACCTATAAAACTTGAAGAGAGGTGTTAGTCAAGTAGCCTCAATTAACTTAAGAAGGTGGTGAATTAAGTTTACCAATTTTTTTTCCTTTATAAATTTTTTGAAATGCTTTCATATAAATTCAATTACTTAGACAAATTTGTATGTATAAGTTAATGATGATGCAAACTACTCAATTACAATTAATAACAAGTAATTAAAAGTGTAGGAAAAGAGAAATTGCAAACTCGTTTTATATTGGTTCGGACAATCCTACCTGCGTCCAGTCCTCAAGCCTCTAACTTGAGATTTCACTTTTCTTGTAAATCTTATAAGACTTGAATCCTCCAACACCTTGGAATTCCCCTTCCTTGTGTTGAGATTCAAAAACACCCAGGAGAAAGACACTTTCTCCTTTTCAGATTGAATGACAAAATGGGTTTTTCTGAGTAACTCTCTTAAAGAGTAGATATTACACTTTGATGATCTTAAAGAACTCTTTAGAGATTTTTGCAAATGACTTTGGCCAAATAGTTTTTGTAAATTTATTTTCACAATAGAGTTCGTAACCTTCTTCTGAAAAATTATAGGTATTTATAGACAATTATCTCTTAGATTGTGTCTTTTTATGAAGAGTTGTAACTCTATAATTTTTTAGAAAAGATACACTGGTAATCAATTACAAGAAATTGATAATCGACTACAACGGTTTTAAGTTCAAAATGATTTGAAACGTTGTATCTTTAAATTCAAATTTTCAAATTTCCTCTTCTAGTAATCGATTACAAGAGCTTGTAACCGATTACCAAAACACATTTTAGCATTTGAATTTTGAACTAAGAAGTTTTCTTGCTCTAGTAATCGATTACTTAAACTGGTAATCGATTACCAGACAAATATTAAAACATTTGCTTTATAAACTTTTTGATATAGGAAACTTTTATAATTATCGATCAAAAATATTTTTGTAAAATCTTTTTGAATACTCTTTTTACTTTCTTTTTAAAAGGATATAAAAACTTACTCTTATATATTCAAACAGATTACATTGAAGTTTTCTTGAAATTCTTATTTTAATGGCCAAGTAAAATTTGCGATTTCTAAAAGTTTCTTTTACATATTAAGCTAAGTTGACACAAAACTTATCTAGTTAATTCTTGAGATCTTGCTTCTTGATCAACTTGCTTTAACTTGATCTTTTATTTTCTACAATGTTTTGGCATCATCAAAACTTTGTGCATATGTTCTTCCACAAGAGGTTTACAAGTTTCATCCAAAAAAAAACTTGAAAGGAGGATTTTGAAGAACATTTAATACATTTTGAGATAATGATCATCCTTATGAATTTAAGCATAAAGGGTCAAACCATGTTAAATAAATTTTGTGATTATTTTATCTATTTTAATTGAGGGAAGAATTATTGGAAAAATAATTCAAATTTCCATATTCAAATTTCTAAGATATTATTTAAATTTTAAAATATATTTGATTCTTTTAGAATATTGTTTAAAATTGAAATATATTGTATTTATTTTATATATGTGTTTCCTCCTTTAAGATTAGGATGTTAGGTCAATAAATAAAAGTTCTTAAGATGAAAAGAATCAATCGAACTAACGGGGGTCATTGCTTTAAGTGAGAAAGGAGATCATATGAAGAGAGTTTCAAAGTTTCGCTTAAAAACTTGTGAGGGAGAAGTTTTCCAGTGTCACCCATAAAACTTTTGAGAAAATGATTTTCAAGTTTTCCTCAAAAACAAGAAAGGGGTTTTCAAGAACTTGTAATACATTTTGAAATAATGAACGTCACTGTAAACATAGGTATGAAAGGTCAAACCAAGTTAAATAATTTTTTTTGTAATTTTCTATCTATTTATAGTATCATTTTTAATGTATTTTTCGTCATTTGTATGCGTAAAAGAGAAAGGTTTATTTTTCAACATTGAAGAATATTGTTGTGATCTTGTTTCTAGTTGTTCTCTTAGATTAGTCAATTTGAACTCTTGAAGTATGGTTTTGGTATTTCAAGGAGTTTGTCATTGAATAACTTAGCCTTGGAACCTAAAGAGCTTAGACTTTGAGTGATATTGATGTTAGATTATTTAATTTAATGTTGACTCATGTATTTAAAGAATGACTTTTAATAAATAAAAAATATCTAATTTGATGATTATTAGACTTAAAATATATTAAGAATTATTGAAGATTTTTTTAAGTTATTAAAATAATTTCCTCCGTTCTCACTTCATTAAAGGCTAATTTTGACATTAAAAAAAAGAATTTGAAAAATGAAAGTTAAGGGAGATTACAAAGTTAAGTTGATTTTATTAATTAGTGTAACTTTTTTCTTCCTTTCTCTCTCTAGAGTTACTTTTATGTTTTTTCACAAAATTTGTTTTCATGGAGAAAATTATGAAAGCTTAAAATTGTCAAGAATTAAATAAAAGAGGTTGTCATATCATCATAGAGACTAATTAAAGGAAGAGAAGGGATAACAACTCATTAGAAATTTTGTGTTATATTTTAGAGTCTAATATGTTTTATAAACTTTATGGTTGAAATTTTGAAATATAAGAATAATAAAAAAAAATATGTTATCTAAAATCTATTCAATGTAATTCTCTTGAAAAATAAATTTTATAAAATTATATGTGATCATAAAATTTACTAATAATTAATCCAATCTAATGACAAGACAATTAGGTGTTAGTCTAAGCTTAGGTTAAGCAAAGAAAAAACATATCTGGAAAATAAAGAAAAATGGTTAATCCTGCAACCAGAGAGAGCCACATGGTAGCCATAGCAATTGGTTGCATGGAAGTCAAATTGACAACTAGAGACTGCTACCACAGCCAAATGGCCGAGAATGCAGCATAGTTTAAGCCATGTCGGCCCCCACTCTAATCTTTCAGGGCCGACATCCCACTCGGCTAAGTCCTGACTGGACCCCTTGGGAATGGGCCTAGTCGGTCGCGATCCGATTTATCGATCCAGTGTTTGACGTAGTATCTTAAAAATAAGAACGGTTAGGGGAAGTCCCTATATTCTCGGGGCCCATGAAGCCCGTGAACGAGAAACTATAAAACTAAAAACCCTAGAGTTGAGAAGGTAGATTACACTTTTGAATGCTCTGGCTTTGAGGCTTGACCTAGGAAAAAACCCTAGTGCACCCTTTGGCCGGAACATTTTGGCGCCCACCGTGGGGCTACAGTGAAACTTTTCCTACGCCCCAAGAAACACAAAAAACCTACACTGTACCATGGCGAGAGGCGACAATAACAACAACAACTCACAACCACCAACCATGGAGGAGATGATGGCCATGATCAATGGCTTAAGGGAGGAGAATGCGCGATCCAGGGAGAGAGAGGAGGCCATTCCACGTGAAAACGAGGAGATCAAGAGGCGAGCAGACGAGATGCAGGCCAGAATAGAAGCCAGTACCAGGACGGTGGAGGAGGATGTCATGTTGGAAGTCCCTAGGGATTTTTGGCCTTTTTCAGAAGCCATAGAGGCCGAGGCCATCCCCAGGGATCATCGGATACCCCAAGTCGAGCCCTTTGATGGAACGCAGGATCCCAGTCAGCATCTGACGGATTTTCGAGCCCAAATGTTGATCTGTGGGGGGGGCATGGAAGTCCGCTGTAAGCTTTTCATGGGAACAATCAAAAAAGCAGCACTTGATTGGTTTAGTGGTCTCCCTGACCACTCAATTACCAACTTCGACGTTTTTAGTAGGCTTTTCATGGCGCAATTCGCTGCCAACAAGAAGAAGTCACCGATTACATCGGACTTATTCGATCTCAAGCAGCAGCAGGAGGAGTCGCTGAAGGAATTTATGCAAAGGTTCAATGTGGTCGCTTTGAGGATAGCATCTTTGGATGAGAGGATGGCTGTCATCGCATTCCAGAAGGGCTTGAGGTCTGAAGCTTTCGACATCGCTCTGGAAAGAGCAAATTGCCAGACGATGTCGAAGGTGAGAGCCTTCGCGCTGAGTCATATCAAGACAGAGGAAGGACAGATCAGCAAGAGAGCAGCGGAAAGCCGAGAGGCGGGGGGCAGCAATAAGGAGGGAAATAAGCATCTCCGACCGCGATCGGACTGGAGTAAACGACGTGACCGTTACAACTTGAAGGAGGGCAATTACAGGCAGGCCGATCACGGTGGCCGGGCAAGGGGCGAGTGGACACGCAACAATGACGAAGAGAAGTTTACTCCACTCAATGTTCCCAGACGACAGATACTTCACGATGTGAACAGCGCATCGTTGTTTGAATTTCCAGCGGCAACGGAACGTCAATTGGGACCCTTTAAAACTGATTGGTGTGAGTTCCATAGAGCTCATGGAAACTCCACTGAAAATTGCTTTGTACTAGGGAGGCAGATCGAGCGTTTGATCAAGGAGGGGCGGCTGAAAGAGTTTGTGGCAAGAAAACAGGAAGGAGGCTCGTCGGATAGGCGACACAGGCGCACACAGGATGACACCAGGAGGGATAGGCGTAGAGAGAGAACTCCTCCTAGAGACACACCAACGAAGGTGTCGGAAACCCACCAGCAACCCATCCACGGGGACTTCAATACCATCACAGGGGGCTTCGCAGGTGGAGGAGCTACCTCAGCAGCCTGAAAGAGGTACTCTCGGTCGGTGCTGACAGTATTAGAATTCAGGCGACCGTCTCAGCCTGAGATTTCATTCTCAGACTCGGATTATGAAGGAGTAGCCCTTCACGAGGACGACCCCGTCGTCATATCGGCGATTGTTATGGGGTACAATGTGAAGCGAGGGTTGATTGATCAGGGAAGTTCCGCGGACATCTTATTCTGGGAAGCCTTTGAGGGGATGAAAATACCTAACGACCGACTTATTCCTTATGCAGGGACTCTAGTGGGTTTTGCAGGAGACTAGGTCATCGCGAGGGGATACACCGATCTGGAGACGACCTTTGGTGAAGGATTTCAGATGAAGACAGTAGTCGTTCGGTATTTGGTGGTCAATGCTCAATCATCCTACAACATACTGATCGGCAGACCGACCCTGAATAAGTTAGGAGCGGTAGTGTCTACTTCCCATCTGAAGGTAAAGTATCTGTTGCCGAACGGTACTGTGGGGGTCCTTAGAGTGGACCAGGAGGTTGCTCGAAAATGCTATGGGGATAGTTTAAAGGCACGAAGGCGACTGTACACTGCACAGGTAGAGCAAGAGGTCCACTCCGTCGATCTAGATCCTAGAGTGAGCCATTTTGATCGCCAACCAGCCCCTGTCGAGGACGTTAAAGAAGTGATCGTAATGGAAGGGAGGAAGGTAAAGATTGGAACATCCCTAAGCCCGGAGGACGCGGTGAAACTGATAGAGGTATTGAAGGTGAACATATCGGCATTCGCCTGGCACGCCAAAGACATGCCAGGAGTCGACCCCGACTTCATGTGCCATAGGCTGGCCATAGACCCAAGCGCAAAACCGGTGATCCAGAAAAGGAGGAAATTCGGGGAAGAAAAACGAAAAGCCATCGCTGAAGAAATAAACAAGTTATTAATGGCAGGGCATGTACGAGAAATACAATACCCGACCTGGCTCGCAAATGTTGTGATGGTACGTAAAAGCAGTGGAAAATGGAGAATGTGCACAGATTTCACCGATTTAAACAAAGCGTGCCCGAAGGATTCGTACCCTTTGCCGAATATAGACTGCCTCGTCGATGGCGCGTCGGGGTACGAACTGTTAAGTTTCATGGATGCGTAATCGGGTTACAATCAGATCCGAATGCACCTGGCCGACGAGGACAAAATCGCGTTCATCGCCGATCAAGCCAATTACTGCTACAAGGTCATGCCTTTTGGCTTGAAGAATGCGGGTGCAACGTATCAGCGTTTGATGGACAAAGTATTGGCGAACCAGCTGGGTAGGAACGTGGAAGCTTATGTGGATGACATGGTGGTGAAATCAATGAGTCTGAATCGACATTTGGACGACCTGCAAGAACTATTTGAGACCATAGGCAAGTATCAGCTGAAGTTGAACCCCAAAAAATGTTCTTTTGGGGTTCAAGCGGGAAAGTTTCTTGGTTTCCTGCTAACCCATCGCGGCATTGAAGAAAATCCCGAAAAGTGCTCGGCAATCATCAACATGAGGAGTCCAGCAACGGTGAAGGAGGTGCAACAGCTCGCTGGGCGAATGGAATCTTTGTCGCGTTTCCTTTCAAAGGCAGCCGACAAGGCCCTCCCGCTTTTTCAATGCTTAAGGAAGAATGACCACTTTACTTGGACGACCGAGTGTGAGGAGGCCTTTCTGGAGTTGAAGAAGTCGCTCGTGTCGCCGCCGATCTTGACGAGACCGAGGCCGAATATCCCTTTGTTGGTTTACATATCGGCTTCCGACCGAGCTGTCAGTGCAGCTCTAGTCCAAGAGCAGGAAGGCTCTCAAGTTCCTGTGTATTTCGTGAGTTGGGTCCTACAAGGAGCAGACGAGGTATCAGAAGATTGAGAAATTGGCTCTTGCGATACTGGTTACAGCACGGAAGTTGAGACACTATTTCCAGAGCTATGAGGTGGTAGTCCGAACAAATCATCCGATTAGGCAAGTGCTACAGAAGCCCGGCCTAGCAGGCCGGATGACGAAGTGGTCTGTAGAGCTATCGGAGCATTCCATCAAGTATGAGCTGAGAGGAGAAATAAAAGCTCAAGCGCTAGCTGACTTCGTGATGGAGCTGACCTCACCTGCTGACGAGGGCAGCGTCGGCGAGACGCAATGGATCCTATCTGTGGACGGAGCCTCAAATCTTGGAGGAAGTGGAGCAGGGATCATTTTGGAAGGTCCGGGAGGAATTTTGTTGGAACAATCACTACGTTTCGAATTTCGAGCAAGCAACAACCAGGCCGAATACGAAGCGTTGTTAGCTGGCATGGCATTGGCAAAAGAAATGGGGGCAACGAGTCTATCAGCACGAAGTGACTCTCAGCTGATCACGAGGCAGGTAGCTGGCACCTTCCAGGCGAATAATCCTCAACTGGCTAAGTACTTGGAAAAAGTTAAGCTATTATTGGAAAAATTCTGAGAGTTTACGCTTAACCATGTACCACGAGAGCAGAATTCAAGAGCAGATCTCCTCTCAAAGTTAGCAAGCACAAAGAAGCCAGGAGCCACTCGGTCGGTCATCCAAGAAACCTTAGCTCAGCCGAGTATTAATGAGCCACAGGAGAGTGTCTTTTTCATCCAAGAAGAGCTCGAGTCATGGATGGGACCCTATATTGCATACCTGACTCGGGGGGAGTTGCTAGAGGATAAAAAGGAGGCGTCGCTGATACAAAGAGAGTCAGCCAGATTTGTGGTCATCAATGAAAGGCTGTATCGAAGAGGCTTCAGCTCTCCTCTTTTAAGGTGTTTGACTATGTCACAAGCACAGAGAGTGATGGACGAAGTGCATAGCGGAATGTGTGGAAGTCACATTGGAGGACGAGCTTTGGTGTATAAAGTTGCCCGGGCGGGGTACTTTTGGCCATCCTTGCGAAACGACTACGTCAATTGGGTTCAAAAATGTGATGGATGTCAAAGGCATGCAACTTTGCACCACTCCCCAGCTGAACGACTCCACTCGATCTTGTCTCCTTGGGCATTTAACAAGTGGGGTATTGACATTCTCGGTCCATTTCCGATTGCTATGAGACAGATGAAATTCTTGATAGTGGCCGTGGACTACTTCAGCAAATAGATTGAGGCAGAGCTTGTAGCAACCATTTCAGCAGAGAAGGTCATGACATTTTTATGGAAGAATGTAGTATGCAGATATGGCGTTCCGCAGGTGCTCGTATCAGATAACGGGACGCAATTCGCGAGTGCGAGAGTCCGCGAATTTTGTCGAGGAATCGGCATCCGAATGACGTTAACCTCCGTCGAACATCCCCAATCCAATGGCCAAGCGGAGTTGGCCAACAAGGTTATACTCTCAGGTTTGAAAAAGCGTGTCCAGGACTCAGGCGCTTCATGGGTGGAGGAGCTTCCCCGAGTGTTATGGTCATACCACACGACTGTTCATTCGTCGACCCGGGACACCCCTTTCAACCTAGTGTACGGAACAGACGCCATGATCCCGATTGAAATTTCCGAACCTTCAGTACGTACTACAGCTTTTTCTGAGGAGGAATCCGACCAAGGAAGACGAGTTGACTTGGATCTGATCCCTGAGACAAGAGAGAGAGCAAGGATAAATCAAGTAGCAGCCCAGAGAAGAGCAGCTTTCAAGTACAACACAAAGGTCGTTCCAAGAGACTTTGTTGGAGGGGACCTCGGTTTGGAGCGGGCTCAGCTAACACAAATGAGGAACAAGTTGTCACCTAAGTGGGTCGGCCCTTACAAAGTTGATGATGTGGTCGGCAAAGGGGCTTACCGACTTAGGACCCTGGATGGAGGGATGATACCAAGAACTTGGAGCGCGGCCAACTTACGCTTCTATTATAGCTAGTCTTTCTTTCCATTTGTATTAGGTGCACTCTTTTCCTAACTCAGTATTTTTTCCCCGTAAAAATAAGAGGAGTTTTTGCTGAGAAGGTTTTTAACGAGGCACTACCTTTTCAATTTTTAATAAATATCATCCCATGACTTCTTTCATGACTTCTAACGTGTGATATCTTAAAGGGACAAAACTTGTGATTGTCGGCAAAAGTCCGACTGGGCGAGTATAAATAACTCGAAGACTGAAACTCGTGATTGTCGGAAAAAGTCCGACTGGGCGAGTATAAATAACTCGAAGACTGAAACTCGTGATTGACGGCAAAAGTCCGCCTAGGCGAGTATAAATAACTCGAAGACAAACTCGTGATTGTCGGCAAAAGTCTGACTGGGCGAATATAAATAACTCGAAGACAAACTCGTGATTGTCGGCAAAAGTCTGACTGGGCGAGTATAAATAACTCGAAGACAAACTCGTGAATGATCGGTAAAAATACGACTGGCGAATATAAATAACTCGAAGACAAAGTTTATGATTCAAGTGGATTCTTAACTTGATCCACCATTGCTAATCGGAATTTGGACGATCCGTCCATATAATTGCAGCTCAATGTTGATTTGAATTCTAGCTCATTGTTTAATTCGGGATCTGGATAATGGCTCAGAAAAAAGTTCATTCTTCAAACCCTATATCCGAATCGGCACTTGGCCGATCATATGGTTGAGCTTCTTTTTGAATTAGATATTTCCCATATTATTGCGAGTCAGCATTTGGGCGATCATACAGTTAAATTCCATTCCAAACTTACAAAAATTCTTCAGTATTCTGAATCGGCAATATGCCGATTACTTGGTTAAATTTCATGATAAGATATTTTTCTTCAATTTTTAAGTCGGAATTTGGGCGATTATATGGTTAAACTTCAATCTAAACTTAGAAATATTTTGTTCAATACTCGAATCGGCATTTAGGCGATCTTTTTATTTAAGTTTCTTTCAATAACTTGGAATTTTTTCCTCAATATTTTTAGTCGGCATTTGGGCGATCATACAGTTAAATTCCATTCCAAACTTACAAAAATTCTTCAATATTCTAAATCGGCAATTTGCCGATTACATGGTTTAATGCAATTTAACCAGAAAGTTTTCCAATCAGTTTGAGTCGGCATTAGGCCAATCGCGTGGTTACGTTTCTTTCAACTCGGAAAATTTTTGTATATAATTTTCAGTCGGCATTGGGCCAATCTAATGGTTAAAATGGCTTTTAAACTTAGAAAGTTTTCCATTTATTTTCAGTCGGTTTATTGTCGATCACTTGGTCAATTTTCAATTATTTTCCAGGTTATTCTGAATTGACATTGCTACGTAAGTCCAATCGGTCTCATACCGATCCCCTAGCTTATAGGAATCCAATCGGCCGATATCTGATTCGTTTTCCCTCGGTATGAACACGGTCGGCCAAGGACCGACCTAGCCTCTCCATGATCATCAAAATATTTCACTTAGATTTTATACGAATCGGAATTTGACCGATTGGGTTCACAAAATATCACATTTACTTAGAAAAATTTTTACTTGTTATACGAATCGGAATTTAACCGATTGGGTTCACAAAATATCACTTTTACTTAGAATTTTTTTTACTTGTTATACGAATCGGAATTTAACCGATTGGGTTCACAAAAATATCACTTTTTACGAAGAAATTTTTTTACTTGTTATAGGAATCAGAATTTTACCGATTGGGTTCACAAAATATCATTTTTACTTAGAAAATTTTTTACTTGTTATACGAATCGGAATTTGACCGATTGGTTTCACAAAATATCATTTTTACTTAGAAAAATTTTTACTTGTTATACGAATCGGAATTTAACCGATTGGTTTCACAAAATATCACTTTTACTTAGAAAATTTTGTACTTGTTATAGGAATCGGAATTTGACCGATTGGGTTCACAAAATATCACTTTTACTTAGAAATTTTTTTACTTGTTATAGGAATCGGAATTTGACCGATTGGGTTCACAAAAATATCACTTTTACTTAGAAAAATTTTAGTCATTATCCAGGTTCTTTTGATCAATTTAAAAGCTCAAAAATAAACAATGCGACAAGAACATAAGCAAGACTTAGATCGAAACACAAAGAAAATGTCAAACCTTCAAAACATTAAGTTCATACATGAGAAAACTTAGAAAAACAGGGATATGCATAAGTTCGCACAAAACGACGCGACGATTACAAAGAAATCCTAAGGCAAGAGATTATCAAACAAGTTCAATCATCTTCCGGGGGATCTACTAGTTCCCCATTCACAATTTCCTTGAAGTAGCCAAGTCCACCAAGATCTATATCGGCGTGGAGAAACTTCACTTGACTTGTAGCAGCATCAAAACCTTGAACGAACTTCTTCAGAGAGTCCATCTTGGCCGCTTGAAGGTCATTTTGGAGATTCTCCACTTCAATTTTCAACATGGACAGGTCATTCTCGAAGACGTTAGCAGCATCGGCCGACTTGTCCCGAGACAGGCGTGTCTCCTCCAACTCTTTCTCCATCGCCATCTTCTCGGCAGCCCAAGCTTTCTTTTCTTCCTCAAAGGCTCGACGACCTTCCAGCAGTTTATCTCGTTCATTGGATATCCACTTGAAGTCGGCCTTGCTCTTAGTAAGAGGCCACCTAACCTTAAGTTTAGAAACTAGGGTAACATAACAAAAGGTAAAACGTTCCGAGGCTGAACTGATACACATTGGCTCTTTATCCACACAAGGCTCACAAACTAGGATATTATCAGAACCCCGACTTACTACACGTTCATTATTGAAACTTTCCATGGCAGCCCAAGAATTTATACAAGAGTCACACCTCAATACATCATCCTTCACCCATTCATAAACCTCCTTATAATTTACCAATTCCATAGATTTAAAGCCTATATAACCAAATAACTAGAGCGACAGACAAAGAACAACTACTAATCACAATAAGTATTTGGGCATACCTACCAAGATTTCAAAAAAAACACTTCCTTTCCTTTAGAAAATGCCTCAGAACCACCGTAAACCACCGTGAGGAGGCGGAGAAAAAGAGAGGCGCTCGCCGGAGAAGAAGCAAGAAAGAAAAAGTAGGGAACAAAAGGGTAAAGTAATTTGTGTAAAACGGGTATTTATAGAGATGAAGAGTTGCGCGTGGGGAAGGACGCGCGTGAAACGCCACGTCCCCTGACCTTTGGGGCCCCCAACGCTTCTGCAACACGCACCAACTGACGTGTGGCACTGTCATAATGACTCCCTTCAAGCGACGACGCTAGAATGAATGCACGGCTATTCAAGGGTAAGGCGGAGAGACAGGCCTTGGGAACCGTTACACATTCAACACCTCAAACGTCACTCGAATCGGATCCCGACCCTTTTAAGCCCTTTCGCCATATTGGCTCAGGGCTGGAAGGCAAGTGTGCCGTCACGATCGGATCCCGACAAGACATCTCTATCGACGGTAGCTTGACCGCACCCTAGACCGACCCTCTTAAGCCCTTTCGCCTTAATGGCTCAGGGCTGGAAGGCAATTGTATCGTCACGGTCGGATACCGAAAGGATGTCCCTACTTACGATAACTTCGCCATCGCCTCGACCGGATCCCTGAGGGCCGCTCGGTTTATGGCCGATTTTACACATGTGCACCCTTTTCGGTCTTCTTCCGACACCCCCGCCCTTTAAAGACCTACTCGGCCTATGGCCGAGAGTGCATCATAGTTTAAGCCATGTCGGCCCCCACTCTAATCTTTCAGGGCCGACATCCCACTCGGCTAAGTCCCGACTGGACCCCTTGGGAATGGGCCTAGTCGATCGCGATCCGATTTATCGATCCAATATTTGACGTAGTATCTTTAAAATAAGAACGGTTAGGGGAAATCCCTATATTCTTGGGGCCCATGAAGCCCGTGAACGAGAAATTATATAACTAAAAATCCTAGAGTTGAAAAGGTAGATTACACTTTTGAATGTTCTGGCTTTGAAGCTTGACCTAGGAAAAAACCCTAGTGCACCCTTTGGCCGGAACATGTTCCATGGCAAGTAGTCGTATATGAGCTACAATTAGGTATAACTCTATGTTTTAATATGAATTTATTTAATTACTTGTGATTTCATATCGGTTTCTTGATTTGATTGTTTTCTTAACGAAATTAATTATGAGCTTGATCACCTCTTTGCATAACCATAAGCGATTTAGGGGTACTAAAAGGTTAACTTAAACATTGGAACTCTAGGAGGAAAAAAATTGGGCATTTGTCCTCCGAAGATTAATTAAATTGGAGAAAAAACCATAATGAAACTGAACATGACTTACTACTGTGAAAGTATAAGTCTTGAAAGGAAATAGATCAAACCATTTTTTTGTTGGGGTAAATAGTTGCACTGAAGTGAGAACCTTTGATCTCATGCATACTAATCCTAGTAACTTGGATTGAATCATTAATCATTGTTGTGTCATGTGTGTGAACCTGAATCCTAAAATTTTTCTTCCATTGTTTTCTCCTAATTTTAATATTCTTGTTTTCTTTTTTATTATTTAGGTCTAATACATTATTTTAGTATCCGGTCGTTTTGATCATTTTTAATTATGTCCTTAAACTGAAAACAATTGTAATTATTTTTTTCATGTTTTTATATTTATGTAATTTAGTATTTGGGGATGAAAATTTGTTTATGATTGGTGAAATTATTTATAACTTATATCCCCATACCTAAATTATTACATCATATTATTATTCATGTTATCATCCATATATATAAAGTTTAATTATTATTATAAAAATTCTCTCACAATATCTCTAATCATAAAAATTCTAAAATACTAAAAAAAATTAACAAGTAAGAATTTAGAAATAATACACATGAATATACTAATATAGAATGATAATTTGATTTGATTATCTAAGCATGATATAAAAAACATTTTATAAAATTTCACGAACGTAAATAAATTTATATTCCTATAAACTAAGCTACAAAAATTATTAAAAGATAAAAGACTTAATTATAAAAAAAATTAGTTTAAGAACCTAATTAAAAAATTTCAAAAATTCAGAGATGAAACCTTTGATTTATTCATAATCTCTTTATCTTAATTTTCATTATTCTGCACACGCACTGGCAACAACCATTAATCATTGTTGTTAAAACCCTAATCCTCAAAATATTATCCCAATTTAAAAATTATTGTTTTCTTTTTATTTATTCATTATCTATTTATCTTAATTCTCATTATTTCTTTTTCTCCGATCAAATAATTCTCTTTTTACCTAATTAAATCGCAATAAATTAGTAAACATAAACCACTGCCTACGTAAAATGATAAACTTTATTATTACTAAATAAACGTATTGTTGCTATTTACCCGTCAAAATTTTGGTGCTGTTGGCGAAAAATTGTTGTAGAGTATTTTTATTCCTCTAATGTTGTCGTTGCTGGGGAATTGAAATCAACCGTACACAAATAGGGAAGCCAAATTTTATTCCTTATGGCTAGCTTGATTTACGAAATGTGCTGAATCAGACCTTGATTTCAATTTTTTTTTATTTATAAAATCGTAAAACAGGAAACAATTCGATAGCTTTGTAATGAATTACTAAATTGTTTCAATTAAATTGGAAAGAAAAAACGAACACAGCAAGTTTCCTTAACTAATATACCAAGACGTGTATATAATGTTCTGAAGATGAAAGTGCCTTAAGATTTTAGTGGTTAATAAAGGAATAGCCAGACACAAATACAATACAAGCACGACGTATTTAGAAAGATGGAGCTACTTCAATGTTCACATATTCAAAGACCTATCTTTTGTACAACATACATGATACATGATACATCATCTATAAGAATGGACGCGATGCTCCAGCCACCAGCTAGTATTGGAAAATCAAGAAGTTGATGTATTACAAGTTTACAACCCGAAACATAGCTTAGTTTCTGTTCAAACCGCTCCTCTATTGCCATCACAGCCCAAAACTGAATTAATATTGTCCTTTACAGAAGCTGAATGCTTCCATAAGAAACTATGCTCCGTCCCACTTATGATGTCGATGCATTGTGAGAACTGGAATATTTTGGGGAATTTTTTTGGGATTAAGATTTAAGTATACTTTGATCCTCATTTCAACATACAAAATGTACATAACTTTTAATCAATCTCTCCCTCTTCTACATCATTTACAGGATTTGGAATACAGGGTGGCTCTCCTTCCTCTTCTTCATCATCAGCCTTGATATATAATCCTAATTGTTCCAAGGGATTACTACTCCCAAACTTGAAACTACCCAGAGCATCTTGAGAGTGATCAGGACTCGTCTCATCCACAGAGCTTGGCAATTGCTCAGCAGGTACAGTTCTGAGCATTTCCAAATCTTCGAGAAACCGAGAATTTTCATTGATTTCAACAGTCTTTTCCATCTGCACAGATGCCAGTACATGCTCCCATAAAATCCAGACCAAACAAGCAGATAACATTTTAGGTGAGAGACTGTGTTATTTACCTGGAGCAATGCTTGTCGTGCAGCTTCTCTTTCAAGCTCCCTTTTTCGTCTGGCTTCTGCAGCAGCTTCTGCTTCTGCCAGCTTTCGGGCATCTTCAGCTGCCTTTGCTTCTGCTTGTAGCCTTGCCTTTTCTGCTCGATAATAAGTTGGATCAACATAGAGGGTTAGTTATTAAATAGTCAGTATGGGCACATCAATCTTAAAATGGCACACAAGTATGATTCCCAAATCACCTTTTCTTTGCTCCAACTCCAGTTTCTCCCTCTCCTGGCGCAATTTCTCGGGATCTCCCTTTTCACCCTGACCCAATTGAAGCAAATCACATACAAGATCAGAAGGATAACACAAAAAGGGCAAGTTCCATGGAGCTCAAATATGTAATTTAACTTACTTGTGTCAGTGTCTTCTCTCGAGCTTTCAAGATGGTATCAAGAAATCGTTTCTTCAATACAGCAGCTCGATATACTTTATCAGGGGAGACCTGTCTCTCAGTCAGAGCACTGTCCCCTGTAACATTGACAAGATTATCAGTGTGTAATTATTCTACATAATAACAGTAAAACAATATCTTCAAAAAAACCACACACACTTACCATCTTGATTGCAATCAGAATCAAAAGAACTTGGCTTATGCTGGGAGTTATCCTCAAGTTGATCTAAGCCACTAACAGATTCTGTGTAAGAAATAAAGGGTCAGAGACTAGGTCAGTTAGCGATAGCCAAGAAACTCAATCCTGAATAATTTAAAGGAAAACTAACAGGATTAGAGGGTAGCAAGTAGCAAGTATAGAAATTTAAAATTATCACAACATTGATAATATTAGTAAAGTAATAGCCCCTAATCCAAGTCTGAGACGTATCAGTGGGAGCATAGATGATTTCACATCAAATCATAAGGATCATAAATCATAATAATTACTATATATAATAAAAACTAACAGGAACAACTTCCGTTCCTTTCTTACACTTCTCATGGGTATTTCTTCAAATTACTTGTGGAGAATTCTGTTTTAGTTTCAATGAAGTTTAACAATGCGTATGAAAAAGCAATTCATGTAACAGATTTTGTTATTAGGACAATTTGGTCTCGACAAATTCAATACAGTTATGCATGTCCTCGAATCCAGAAACTCAAATATCATGTAAGCTTAGGCCCTGTTCAGGGTGGGGCTGAATTTCTAGATTTTGGTTTTCAAATCTTGTTTCCAATACAAAATGTATTCGCATAAAATAGTTTTCAAATCATTTTTAATGCATTTTCAAAATGATTTTAATCCTTAAGTCAAAACCATAAAAATTGGTTTACCTTTTCTTGTTTAGAGTTGTAAATCTACGTCACTCTAATTAGCTATTTCAAGATCACGCTTAGTATTATGAAAACTAATATTATTAAAATAGTTTTTAATTAACATTATCATCATTATTAAATTATTACTATTCATATTGTTGTTAATTGTCGGCCTAATGGTGGAGAATTTAGGATAATATACAGGGTCTTAAATTTGAATTTATTGCCATCATTAAAATTCCTACAGATAAAAAAAAATACCATTATTAATAAACATGATTAATATTGAAATTATTATTATTCAAATTACTATTGTTATGATTAAAATTATTATTATGAAAACTAACATTATTATTGTTATTGTTATTCTTTTCTATTTTTAAATTAATTTCATTTTTTTTATCACTATTGCTAATGTAATTTTTCTTAATAATAAGTTTAAAAAAATACATACTTGCTGAAAGAATTGTTATCGTCAAATCTTTTTAAGGAAAAATTATAAGATTAATAGTAACTTCTTAAAACTGAAAGAAACTGAAACTAGAAAATTAAAAACTAAAAACTAGTTTTGGTTTTCAATGATTTTAAAACTTAAAGCTAACAACTCTCCCAATCAGGGCTTTAAATTCCCAAAATTAAGCATTATTTCCGCCAAAGCTATATGAAGAGCATATATAAAGATCAACTAAGCATTTATTCCTGCCAAGTCATAGACAACCGAGGTATTTATGTTGGGGCATTATAATATTTCAACACTAGTATGACCCGTTACATGGTCCTTCTCCATTGAAACAATTTTGGTATTTCCTCAAGGGCTCATTCAATTACACAAGCTCAGTTAAAGCTATCAAACCACAAATGCCATATACCCACATGTTTACAGAGAGTAATGGCAGACCAAATGTTGGTTTACAATTAGCTCACAACAGTTACATTAAGTTCATTCAGTCCTCGTATAAGTCATAAAAAATTATGCTATTATTTACTTGAAGATAAACTTATATTTCAAATAAAGTCCCTGGAATTGTTAATTAGAATCTACAGAAATACAGCAGATTTATATAATCTACTATCTTCACAATACCAATAATCAATATGGCTCCTCAAAAATCAGTTCAACAAAGGGAAATTTTTGCACTCAGAACTATGCTAAAAATATTAACTTGCAGTGGCAGGGATTCAAGAAAGCACAGTATGTATGACACTGACTAAAGAGTATGCAATATGAATATACAGAAAAAGATATTTCAGAATAGCATACCATACAACACAAGCAGAAGGCAAACAATGGGAGGGAAAAGTCAAGTTTTAGTTGCATAAGTTGACTTCTTCATAGTGCAGACCATAATAGATCAACTTTAAGTAGCATAAAATGACAAACAAACACAACTACTCACGATTTCTTTCAAGAGTAGCAGCAGCTCTGGTCTTTTCATCCAACTGAGCTTCAGAACCCAGATTTTCTGGTACCTGAAGAACTTAAATGTGTAAATTACACTATGTATCAAAAACCAAACACCGGATCTATAACAGCACCAGCAATCAAACAATGATAACTAAATAAAAATAAAATCTTTCATTGAATAATCAAACCAGACCTTTGCTGGACTTGCTTTAACATCATCGGGTTCACTATCAGAAGAACTATCAGAGTCCTTATCTGCAATGACACATTAGACATGGTCACTAATTAACATAAAATCTTTCAAATTAAACATCAAAAGTGAAAATACAAGCACGTCACTCCAAGAAAATTATTAGGAAAAACCATATAACAAGGCACAGGCACAAAAAAGAGTATGATTTCACATGTTTTCAAAGTAGACACACTACTCACATCATGTAAGCAAATACTTCAACCAATCACATGATATGCTGAACTGAGATTTTTAATTAACTTTCAGAAGAAAGAAAACAAGGCAGAATTGGCATGATGGTAAAATAAGCTGACATCCCATTTCCCTTTTAAGCATGTTGGGGCAATATTCTGAAATCTGAATTAATTGAATGTGATATGTAGCTCAAATTCAAAAGCAGCTGCACAAATTTTCTTAATTATCAGGCAGCATGCAAAATTTGAAGGAGGTTTTCGGAGTATTTGGTGCAGTTCTAATGCACACAAATGTCAGCCAGTCAATCTTAACAGTGTCAGGACTCAGGAGTAGTTATAAGATGGATATCATTTAGAGCAGCTTCTGCCAGCTGTAACAGCTTGACTTGCTTGGTCCACAAGAAATCAATCTCTGTAAATAATATTGTAACTCAGCTCAAAATGTATGAATTCATTCAGAGCAAAACTCTAAACTCATCCAATCTTTCTGTCCTTTTTCTCCTTGACTCAACACTTCCCTATAAATTTCTTTCAATTATTCAAGAATCATTATACATGTGTACTCAAAAAATGTAGCACTTTCTAATTAAGATAAGTTTTGCCAGCATATGAAGCTGTTCATTAGCAGTGTCTTTGTTCATCAGAGTCTTAGCAAGGGATGGTCTACTCCTTACCTTAGTCATGTTAGTAAGAAGATATGTTTACTTGGCTTATATTTGGCCTGCTAGGATTCTTCTGACCAGTCCCCACTAGGAAGATTTATGGAGGGATAGGAGAGCCATTTAAATAACTTTGTTTGGGTAGTTTTGTTTCTAATTTGCAGATTATTTTATATTTTATTAATCTTGTCTGAGGTCAATTCCTTATCCTCTCTCTATTTCAGTGTCCCTTCTTTTCTTCAAATAAAGTTTTACTCTACTATATTTAAAATGGAAATTCTAGAAATATCAGCTCTTCAGACTTAAACATGAGTTTTGCAAATTCAAATTGCACTATCAAATATAGAAAGAATATACACACACAATTTTGAAAATTCAAGCTGCACTAACAGTAAAGATTAAAGAAGCATATAAACACAAATTATATGCCATGATGTAGCAAAAACACCTTAGAAAAGGAATGATACATAATCATTCAACTGTCTAAAGATTAAAAAAACTAACGTACTAATTGTAGTCACTATAAGAACAGCTGTCTGCTTTACATAACTTAAACAAAAAAGTACCTAGGAATCTCTAATTCACTGATACAGGCTACATGAGTCACTAAGAAACAAAGCGACATTGATTATACAAAAAATTCAAAGTAGATTCATAAAATTATGGATATTTCCTGCCACAGTAAGAACTATTAATAACCCTTTCTAGAAAATGATATAGATCAAACTGACTGTTGAATTGTGAAGTCATCCTCATGTTGAACTTGTATGTCAAACTTTATGTTAAATAAATAAATATATATATAT